ATTCAACACATGACTTTCGATGAGGACAGGACAACTAGGAAAAAACTCAACAAAGATACAGAAGATCTCAATCACACAATCAGACAACTCTACCTCATAGACATATACAGAACACACTACCCCCCCCAAAAAAAAAAAATACAATACACATTCTTTTTCAGTGCACATGGATCGTTCTCCAGACTAAACAATATGTTAGACCACAAAACCAGCCTCAATAAATTTAAAAGCATCAAGGTACTACAAAGCACCTTCTCAGACCACAACACTATAAATTAGACATCAAGAACAGGAAGATCAGGGAAAAAAATCAAATATATGGAAATTGAAGAACACATTGTTCAAGAACTGCTAGGTAACAGAAAAAAATAAACTGTGAAATTAAAAAAAAAAAATTCATAGAAACAAATGAGATTGAAAACACATCATACCAAAAACTTTGGGACACAGCAAAAGCAGTACTCAGAGGTCAGTCAACTTATAGCAATAAATGCACACAACAACAAAAAAAATAAAATAAAATAACAAAAATCAACACCTTAACCAAACAACTCTGACAATTAGAAAAAGAAGCAGTCTCTGGAAGAAAGGAAATAATAAAGATCAGAGCAGAAGTAAACCAAGCAGACAACAACAACAAAAATAGAAAAATTTGACAAGACTAGAAGTTGATTCTTCTAAAAGGGTAACAAAATCAACAAACTACTGGCAAATTTAAGGAAAACAAAGAGAAGATGCAAATAACAGGAATAATAAAAGAAATGGGCAACATCACAACAGAACCAACAGAAAGAAAAAGGATAATAATAGAATACTGTGAAGAACTGTATTCCAACAAATTTGACAACTTAGAAGAAATGGATAAATTTCTAGAAATACACCAAAAGCCAAACTAAACCTACTGCCATCAAGTCACTTTGGACTCATAGCAACCCCCACTGGGTTTCCAAGGCTGTAAATCTTTACAGAAGTAGATTACCTCATCTACTTCCCACAGAGAAGCTAGTGGGTTTGAACCACCAACCTCTTGGTTAGCAACTTTACCCACTATGCTGATAAAATCCAACACTATCTCAATAGTAATAATAATACACAATGACCAAGTCAGATTCATGCAAGCTATGCAAGGATGATTCATTATCAGGTAAACAATCAACATAATACATCACATACATAAAACAAAGGAAAAGTACATGATCATATCAATCGATACAGAAAAGGCATTTGATAAAATACAACACCCATTCCTGATAAGATCTCTCAGTAAAATAGGAATAGAAGGTAAAGTTCTCAACATAATAAAGGGCATGTATGCAAAATCAACAGCTAATATTATTCTCAGTGGAGAGAGACTCGAAGCATTCTCTTGCACATGGGAACCAGGCAAGGATGCCCTCTATCACCACTTCAATTCAACATTGTATTGGAAGTCCTAGTTGGAACAATAAGACAAAAAAGAGAAATAAAAGGCATCCAAATTGGCAAATAAGAAGTAAAACCATCTCTATTTCCAGATGACATGATCCTATACATAGAAAAACCAAAGACTTGGCAAAAAACTACTGGAACTAATTGAAAGAGTCAGCAAAGTGGAAGGCTACAAGATCAACATACAAAAAAAATCAGTTGGATCCCTCTACATCAACAAAGAGATCTCTGAGAAGTAAAACAATACCATTTGAAATAGCTACCATAAAGATAAAATTCTTAGGAATAAGTCATACCAGGGACACGAAAGACCTATACAAAGAAAATTCAAACCACTATTATGAGAAACTATAAGTGAAAAAAAAAAGAAAGAAACTATAAATGACCTACATAAATGGAAGAAGATGCCATGTTCATGGATAGAAAGATTGAACATTGTAAAAATGTCAGTACTACTCAAAGCAATCTATATATTCAGTGCAATCCCGATCCAGATTCCATCAACATTCTTTAAAGATATGGACAAACCAATCACTAATTTTATATGGAAAGGAAAGAGAGCTCAAATAAGGAAAACACTACTGAAAAAGGAAAAAGTAGAAAGTCTGACACTCCCCAATCTCAAACTACTGTACAGCCAGGGTAGTCCAAATGACTAACATGACTGGGGTCTTAAAAGCTTGTGAGCAGCCATCTAAGATGCAACTGGAAGAAAATCAAAGACATATGGAAAGTTAATCCAAGAGTAATGGACCATGGGAACCTCAGCCTACAACAGTCCAGTTATTGGTACAACAATAGACACATAGACCAGTGGAACAAAATTGAGAACCCAGAAATAGATCTATCCACCTATGGACAGCTGATCTGTGACAAAGGGCCAAAACCCATTAAATGGGGAAGAGACAGTCTCTTTAACGAATGCTACTGAAAAACTGGTTATCCATTTGCAGAAAAATGAAACAAAATCCATGCCTCACACCATACACAAAAACTAACTCAAGATGAATCAAAGACCTAAATATAAAACTCAAAACTATAAAGTTCATTGATCCCTTTTTGAGTTTCCAAGGTGGTACCTCCATGGAAGTAGATTGCCCAATCCTTTTCCTGAGGAGTGGGTGGTGGGTTTGAACCACCAGCCTTCTGCTTAGCAGTCAAATGCCTTAGGCTGTAAATGTAAAATCCAAAGATAAAATAGGGGAAAACTTAACAGCCCTAATATATGGCATAAATAGACTATCAAGCATAACTCAGAATGCACAGAAGATAAATTAAATGACTGGGACCTTCTAAAAATAAATTTTTATGCATAACAAAAGACTTCTCCAAGAGAGTAAAAAGAGAACCTATAGATTGGGGGGAAAAAAATATTTGGCAATGCTATAGGGGAGCTCTGGTAGCATAGTGGCTAAGACACTTGCCTGCTAACCAGACGGCTGGCGGTTCAAACCCACCAGCCACTCCTCGGAAGGAAGGTTGGACAATCCTACTTCCATAATGATACTGCCTCGGAAACCCAAGGAGGGGTCGCTATGAGTCGGGGCCGACTCGACGGCACATAACAACAACAACAACAATATCCAACAAGGGACTTATCACTAAAATTTTTAGAAAACTTCAATACCTCAACATCAAAAGACATACAATCCAATTGAAAAATGGGCAAAGGACATGAACAGGCACTTCACCAAAGAAGGTATTCAGGCAGCCAACAAACACATAAAGAAATGTTTATGATCATTAGACATCCTACCCCAGAAATAACAGCAAAGTTCAACAAGATAGAAAACAACAAATTCTGGCAAGGGTCTGGAGTGATTGGAACTCTCATACACTGCTGGTAGGACTGTAAAATGGTACAACCACTGTGGAAAATGGTATGGCACTTCCTTAAAAAAAGTTGGAAATGGAAATACCATTTGATCCAGCAATCCCATTACTAGGTATGTATCCTAAAGAAGTGAGTGCTGGGGCAGGAATAGATATATGCACACTCATGTTCATCACAACACTATTCACAATAGCAAAGAGATGTAAACAACCTAGGTGCCCATCAGCTGATGAACAGATAACCAACCTATGGTAATACACACAATGGAATACTGTGCAACATTAAATAATAAAGACGAATCAGTGAATAACCTCACAGCATGGATAAACTTGGAGGATATCATGCTGAATAAAATAACTCAATCATGTTGTTGTTGTTATTATGTGCCGTTGAGTCGGATCCGACTCATAGCAACCCATCCTTGGGTTTCTGAGGAAGTATCACTACGGAAGTAGATTGCTCCATCTTCCAAAGAGTGGCTGGTGGGTTTGAACCACCAGCCTTCTGGTTAGCAGTCAAGTGCCTTAGGCACTATGCTACCAGAGCTCCATATGTATGTGTATATATATATATATATATATATATATATATA